TCAGATCACTCTGAGTGACTTTGTTTACATCTTAACGACCGAATTATGTGGAAATTTTGAAAAAGTGGTGGAACTCCACTTCAGATCAGACAGCAAACGAACAAACCTGGAACAAACTTTTTTATTAAAAACACTTTATGAGCCAGTCACAGTCGAAGGTGCTGGAAACAAAGGCTGAAATATATATACTGCTCCTAAATGCCATACTGTCGTCTTATTTCAGTGTAGGTGATGTGTCCTTGTTCTGCTGTTGCCGGTGAAGTAGAAAAGGAAAAAAAACTAAAAATACATGTAACTGGGTCTGCGGAGCTTTTCAAATTACAAATCACCCATCAGTTTTACACTCCCGGACACACATACACACCCACATGTGTCCCTGTAAGGCTTTAAGTTCCTCTCTTTCTCTCCTCCTCCTTCTTCTCCTCGGCCTGCTAACCTTAAGCTATCTCCGAGGCCGTCTGCGGCCGAGGCTCCTTTGCAAATTGCTCCATCGCTCTCTGTCTCCATCTTCCATTTGCTCCGCTTCTCTCTCTCTCTCTCTCTCTCTCTCTACACAGTCTCCTCGATAATGAACTCTATGGTGTGCGGCACCTCCTGGCCCGCCACCACTGAGATGGTGGGCACCGTGACCGAGGGAATGGTGGGCACAGTGATGTTGGGATGCAGGAAGACCACGGACGATCCGTTCTCCGTTTCGGCCACCAGCGCGCCCTCCTGGACGGAGGCTGACGCCGGAGAGGGTGAAGACGGACCCTCCTGCACCAGCAGGATGGTCTGCACGGCCTGGTCCTGGTCCAGCGCGGCTTGGGCGGCGGCCTGGTTGGGGTCGGAGGGGTCGCAGGCATGGAGCCGCAGGTGCTTGTCGAGGTTGGGGCGCGAGCGGAAGGCGGTGGGGCAGCGGGGGCAGGCGTAGGGCCGCTCACCGCTGTGCACGCGGGCGTGTTCCGTCAGGCGGGCCGCCACGCTGAAGCTTTTGCCGCAAACCCAGCAGGTGAAGGGCCGCTCGCCGCTGTGGATCCGCTCGTGGTCCTGCAGGTGGGGCAGCTGCCGGAAACGCTTACCACACTGAGTGCACTGCAGAGAGAGATACAGAAATATCACCACACTTTTTATCAAGATATTGTTGCTGTTGCTCAAAATGGATAATTATTAATTATTATGGATTTTTTAATGCTCAATTTTAAATGAACAGTTCCAAGAAACTTAATTACTGCAAATTTGATCAGACAAGACAAGTTTAGTGTCTGACACTTCTTTCGGTGTCAACAGGCTCACTGTCACTCACAATCTTTTAAATTAAATTAAAATTAGTTGTGTATTTGCGTATGTCTGATTTTTAAACATCTGTTTAGATTTGCAGAGAATGTTACTATAAATAAAATAAAATCAAACCACTTTTATACCTCCGAGCCCCAATCTTCCCTAAAACTCTCTGCCTTTTAACTCTCAAATGATTTCATAATTTAAATTAGCTCACAGGCTAACTGCTAACTGTCATGCTTGTTAGTGCTGTTCTCCCAAAGATGTCTAGTTCAAGCCTTAGCTGCTAAGGATGATGGAACAGAATGTTTGATGAAAAATAACATCAGTATGCAATAATGTTGAATAATTATGAAATATATTATAATATTATATTCATAATTATCATTTCACCGATTATCAATACCGTTGTATTGCCCAGGCCTGCTTAGAGTCATATTGAAAAAAAATAATTGCATACCCCTGTTCAAATGACATGTTTTATAAACTTTCAAAGTAAAAAATGTTAACACATTCTCTAGGTACTTAAATATTTTAATATTATATATGGTATTTTGGTATACTTACATATGTTATTTCCCTGTGTTTTATTTTTCCCCAATATGCTACATTCAACAAATAACCACTAACTGTGCATTAAAAGGTGTAGATCTCTGTAGAGTTACGACTATTTAACACAATCCGTTTATATTACTATTAATTTGAAAATTGAGTTAATGATTGTGCCCTAAATCTATTAGGCAGCAACCAAACATGCATCATGAAAGTTCTCAGAATGAGAGAATTTCAGTGAGTTCTAATGGTCAGGAATTCCAGTCAACAGGACTCAGTTTCACCACAGACCTAGAACAAAAAGAGCCAAACACTGAGAGCTTCACGCTCCATCGGTGAACGAAAAAAAAACAAACTCCCACATCATTACAACTCTGTTACTTAATTTGCCAGAAGAAAACAACTATTTGGAACATGCTGCGATTCCCCAAGTGGAAAGGCTGATTCCATATCTCTGTTTCTCCAGGCAAAATTGGCACTGAGGCTAAGCTGGACGTAAACGTCCTTATCTATTCACAGAGCGTGAGCGTTTCACTGCAGAGGCCTGAGCCGTCTCTTCTCTCATACACGAAGAAACTGCAGAAAAGCACAAACGAAAAGCATCTGACAGATTTCCTCTACAATGTATTTCAACAAATGAAATCAATGTGTGGTTAATATCAAACAGCACCACGTTACCTGATAACTG